ATTTACATTGAAGCATCACAGCTTCACTAAATAGAGAGATGAAGATAAATAAAAATTACATAGTTTCTCTTAAATCCATGAAATACATCGATATTTCAAGTCAGTGTTTTCAACTATTTCAAGAGAAACTAGGTAAGATGACTGTTCTATTTTCTAACTTGGTACAACAGGAAAGTATTTCTTATTAACGAAGTCTTGTGATTTTTATGTGAAGTTAGGTTTAAACCAAAACTTTTAACAACTGCAGCAAAATCTAGAGCCCCTCTTGTGACTTTAGAATATGTGTAAAAGATGATTTTACAACTTTACCCGACAGTTTTCCTCCCAAAAGGACTTAGGAACCAACTGAACAGGCAGATGAGTCTTAATCAGTCTAGGGGAAGTGGGGAGCTTGTCTGCCAGCTCAGTTCCTGTGGACAGTCAAATAAAGGCAGCAGTTAATTGAGCCAATTTAATGAGAATTTGTATATTTAACAAAATATAGTAACATATGGTTGTCAACCTGAAGCACCAGGAGTGACTGCTATCTCCAGAAATGGTACCCTTTCATGGATGGGGATGGATGTCTGGCGCTCTGGAGATAAGTGCCTAAAATAAAGCAGGTCAAGAATGTAGGAGACCCACGTAGTTCCTAAAGAGGCAGCAAGGTGAAAAGGAACCTGTCCTATTAATATTATTAATGCACCACAAACGGTAAAACCTGTTTACACATGCTGCTAGACTGACCTGCTTTCGGGTATGTTGCAATAAGTATATCGTCCGGTCGGGCTTGAAAGCTTCGAACCTTTTCCCAGTTGTTAGTGACACAGGGAGTCATTGCGACTCCATGGAAATCAAACAGTTCTGGTCGAGAAAACATCTACAAGATAAAAAATGAAATCCTGATTACATTTTTTTCTTTTTTTTAAAACTATTGCCTGATGCATTAAAAATCAATGTATAGGAAACCAATATCTGCCAAATGCATGTTCACTTCAGTAAGAAGGAATCCATGGCATAGTGCTAGAAAACAAAGGGTTTACCTTTCTAGGTGAATTCCCCACTTGGTTTTTGCTCCTTTTCTTTCTGCATGCACATTTTCCAGTGTAACTAGTGAATATTTAACATGTCTAACTTTGCTTTTACAACCATATTTGTATCTGTGGGCAGTGATAACAGCATTGACAGTAGGGATTAGATTACAAGAGGTCAGGATCCTTCAGGGTTTATTATTGTTCAAACATACCACTATCACATGCTGTACAAAACTATTCTCTGAGTTACAGCTTTGTGTAAAANAAGAGGTCAGGATCCTTCAGGGTTTATTATTGTTCAAACATACCACTATCACATGCTGTACAAAACTATTCTCTGAGTTACAGCTTTGTGTAAAAACATGATAATAACTAGTAACCTGACTCTGCCAGATGGATTTGCTCCGCATATCCATCTGGAAACCTTCCGTTGAAATAATTTTGGGAAGGGGCGAAAATACTGGTTAGCTAATTGGCCTATGTTGGTGATAGACGGGCCAAATAAACCAATCAGATCAACGAAGCATATGACGTACTAACAGCCAGGCTACTCTTGCCGAAACCAGTCGAGAGAAGAGCAAAAACATCTTTTCCTCTGAGAAAAGCCTCCAGAGCAGTATTTTTCTCTTCTTTCAGTGAAGAAATATTCTGTAATTCCGACAAAACTTGCTCGATAGCCACGCTAACGCTAGTTTCAACGGCTGAAGCCGCCATGTTCTTTAGACTGAACTGTTGCGCTTCTCGTTGACTCACACCTCAACCCGCCTCAAAGCCAACGCTGATTGGACGTTCGTTTGGTGAACGGCTCCAAATTTTCTTCAACGGAGAGTTTCCAGACTGATTAGCGAGTGAAATCTTGAAAGCTCGCGAGATCAGGATGGTCTCACGAGGCTAAATAACTAGTACCTCCTATGAATTTTGTGCTTTTAAAGCTGGACAAATCACATTGTGTACCTTAAAGGTATAGAGGACAATCTTTTATTTCCAGGTGGACCATCTAAATAAGTGGTCCTCCTAATTTTCAATCATTCTGGTGATATGTTTACATAAGGCCGTCCTATGGGCTCATCCCATATTTTTCTGCGCATGCGCACTTTCAGGCGTATATTTGTGGTGAGCTACGGTTTCAGGCAGTCATTGAAGGTCACCTTTCTTACTACGGTTCTTTGAAAATGGCCGATGGTGGTAAGAGAAAAAGTGTCTACAAAGTGAATGAGAAGAAAAGAAAGGCCTCAGAAGAAGCAGATATATCCCAGAATGCTTTGTGCAGAGAGCTCTCCTCACAAAGTATAATGGGATTTCCTGACAGCGGCCCGCTGTCGCCATAGGCTGTTGCTAACCGACTAAGGTGACTAATAACAAAGATGGCGCAGGCAGTGGAGGAAGAGTTACATGACCAACGGAGCAAAAAGCAGTGATTATCTGTCCGAACGTTCAGTTAACTGAGTTTGCTATAAAGTCCACTATATAGACCCCACTCTATATACTGATTGAGGGATTTAGAGGTTAGGGTTTCGGCAGAGTAAGCTTGTATGAACTATGAGAATAGCAACTTTTAAACACAGCGTGCATCAGGAGAAATGAGCTATTGAATGCTTTTAATAGCGTTTAATGCATTCCCTCTCCAGAGCGGGTGCAGGGTTGTGCATGTGCAAGTGTAGAGGGCAGTTTTTTTTTTATTCTCGAAAATCCTCCACTATACCTTTAAATCTAAGGTAGATACATTTTCTTTTTTTTATTTTGAATAAGGTAAAGGACATTTCGGAAACAAATCGTTGATAATGCTGTATAATCTACTTGTTTTACCATATTTCATGTATTGTTTGGTTTTGTAGGACAATACTTACTTAAAATAAATATTATACCACTGTTTTTTGTTAAAAAGATCTTTAGGAATAATAAATAAAGTAGGGTGTGAAGAACATACAACAGATTTTATGTTTTGTTTGGTTTATGAAAGATAAAATTAGACTTACAGAATTACAGAACCTATTTGAATTAGGAAAGCAGGACTGCAGACACTGGTTGGATTTTACACTCAGGTTTGGTCTGTTAACGTTAAAACATTAGTGTATTTATGTCACATGTTTTAAACTGTGGAATTCTCAAATGTTACTCCTAAGGAGTTGCACAATTTTTCTGAATTTTTTCAGAAATTTTTCTGAATTTTTCTGTTTAAGAAAATGTTTAGAAGAAGCTAAAATGATTTTTTTATGGAGATGAGAGAAACTGATGATTTATACTGTTAGGTTTGTTCTCTTTTCATCAATGTCAGTGATTTGTTTTATTTTTGTTTGTACCTATTTCTCCTTCCTGCTCCCGACGGCAAAATTATGATAAAAAATGAGACGTAACATGCAGGTGCTATGATTTAACTTTCTATGGATATCATAAATATACTTGGGGAGACTATGGGGTGCTGTTTAGGACAAAAACTATGCATCCCTTAGGAGACTGAGGAGTAGCAACAAGCCTTTTGTTCTCAAATCAGAACCCTTTCATGTTGAGGGTACTGATAGCGTTAATGCTTGGTTAGACCCTCCCAATCACGAGCTGGAAAAATTAAAATTGAAAGCCATTTAATAAAACATTTATTGGGAAAAATTATTTTATACATATTTTTTTTTAGTTAGATTGAAATTATTAGATACCATGGAATTATTAGACAGCATTGTTTTGCTGATGATATACAGCTATATATGTCTCAAAATCAGGATGAAGCTAACCAATTACATAGATTACAGGCATGTCTTGAAGACATAAAAACCTGGATGACTCGTAACTTTCTGCTCCTTAATGCAGACAAAACAGAAGTTATAGACTTTGGACCAAAGTCTTTAAAAAAGAAGCTGATTAGTCAGTCACTTAATTTGGAAGGGATTAAATTGATCTCAGATAATCCCTTCCCTCCATTAAAGACATTTGGTCCCAGCGTTGTGTGTCCCGAGCCTGTAACATCATAAATGAACCCTCACACCCCCACCATGGACTGTTCTCCCTGCTGCCCTCTGGGAAGAGACTTCGAAGCATCCGCTGCAGGTCCAGCAGATTCCAGAACAGTTTCTTCCCCACTGAGATTAGACTGCTGAATGTTGTATAAAATGGGTTTAAAAAAAGAAACAATCTGAATGTTGGAACTGCAACTAATATACAGTCATATGTTTATATCATCACTGCTGCTTACCTTTATCACGGGTGCACTTTTAAAAAAATGAAAATGTCTTGAGAGCTGTACTGAACAAAATTTCTTTGTGTATACACCCTATGCATAAAAAATGACAAATAAAGTCTGTTTAAACTCTAATAATAAAGTAAAAAATCTTGGAGTTTTTGATCAGGACCTGTCATTTAAATCCCATATCAAAGGGGTCTCTAGAATTTCCTTATTTCGTCTGCAAAATATTGCAAAAATAGAAATATCCTGTCCAGGGGTGATGCTGGGAAACTAGTCCATGCATTTGTTACTTCAAGGCTGAACTATTGCAGTTCTTTACTATAAGGAAGTCTACAAACCCTGGTTAAAAGCCTTCAGCTGATCCAAAATGCTGCAGCCAGAGTTCCGATGAAAGATAGAGACAATATCCCTCCTATCCTGGCTTCTCTTCATTGGCTTCCTGTTAAATCCAGAATAGAATTTAGAATCCTTATTCTTACATATAAAGCCTTAAAGGCCAAGCTCCATCTTTTATCAGAGATATGATTGTTCCTTATGAGGCAGATCTTTTAGGTATCATTCTCCTCTCCTGTGGAACCAACTACCAGTTTTAGTCCGTGAGGCAGACACCCTGTCTGCTTTTAAGGGTAGGCTTAAAATTTTCGTTTTTGATAAAGCTTATAGTTAGAGTGGCTCAGGTTATCCTGATTTGTCTCTACTGTATAATAAAGCTGCTATAGGCTTAGACTGCTGAAGGACATAGGGACCCCTATTTCATCATTCTGATTCACTCTGTCTCAATTCTCCCACTGCAGAATTTGTTAGTTCAATCTCTAACACTATTCTCTCTCTGCTTTTTCTCATATAATTATTTTGCTCTGCTCCTGTTTGGCTGTGACAACATCCTGGAGAGAAATATTGGCTGTGCTGCTGCCATCAACACCTTAGTTTGTAGATGTTCGAGCTCGGCCTGTTTTTCAGTGCAGTCCTGATTCTCTGACTGTGACTGCGGATGTGCTCTCTTCATCCTCTGACATCGGAGCTGGCTTGGAGCTTGTCTGCCTCGCTGTGTGTTTCCTGGAAGGGGCCGCCTGTGGAGCTGGTTGACAGTTGCCTTTTGTAGCTCTACTTCTTTGTCTGCTTCCATCTCCTTGAAACCCAGTCGGTCTCAGCAGATGGACGCTCAGACTACGCCTGGTTCTGCTGGAGGTTTCTTCCTGTTAAAAGGGAGTTTTTCCTCCCCACTATCGCTACAAGCATGCTTAGTGTGAGGGATTGCATCTGAGTCATTGAGTCAATGCAATCAACTGGTTTTCCTTAGATAGAAAACTTTCAATAAATTTGACTGTATGATCTGGTGAACTGACTTTAAAGGTCTCCACATACAGTTAATCAAAACAGTTATAGAAAGTCGGAGCAAACAGTAACATTTTATGAATAAAACCCTGAGAAACAGTCTAGCTTGTTATGAGAACAATTATTTCTCTCCCAAACACTCCCTAATAGCATAAACAACCCCTCTCTCTTAGACACCTTGCAGCCTTGCAGGTTGCAGCTCTGAGGCCTGAATGACTGAAACTCAGCAATCATACATTAATATATATAAAAGGGAATTACTAGGGGATTTCTCCCACCATAACTGATTTCCAGTATGGTCAAAAAGAGTCTTCAGAAAGTGGTGTAACATAAGATCCCCTTTGAAGCTTAGCTATCAACATGTAGCGTAGGCAATGCCACGTTGCTGAAAAAAATGGCAAGAGATTCAAAATGTTATTCAATTATCCTTCTCATGAATATCTGTTCACAGATAGCATATGTCATACGTCTATGCAAACCATTCCATTTTCGCCCGCTTAGTCCTTATCAGGATTGCGGTTGGGC